TTTTCCTCTCAGAAAGCACTATGTCACCACTAATTTCACTTACAGTAAAAAGGTCACTAGACAGGATACATAAATATTATAGTTATTGGGAAAATATCAAATGTATTCCATGTGAACTTATTGGTATAATATTTCCTTAAATCTGTTTTAGAAATGTAGATCATAGAGATGATAAAACATACGTGAAGTAAAAAAATCTTGTGAGCAAATTTAAATGATGGTGACTACCACCTTCATGGGCTTGACCTAAAGCTGCTTCATCTTTCATTTTTCTTATCTGCAGAAATAATTAAAGTAAGTAGCATAAGACAATAATCTAGGAGCATGTTGTATGAGAAGCTAGCATAAGAATATAAAATAAGATAAAAAATGTGTTCCCAGACCAGGCGCGGTAGCTCATGCCTGTGATCTCAGCACTTTGGGAGGCTGAGGAGGACAGATCATTTGAGGTTAGGACTTTGATACCAGCCTGGCTAATATGGGGAAATCCTGTGTCTACTAAAAATACAAAAGTTGGCCAGGCATGGTGGTGCATGCCTGTAATCCCAGCTACTAGGGAGGCTGAGGCAGGAGAATCGCTTGAATCTGGGAAGTGGAAGTTGCAGTAAGCTGAAATTGGGCCACTGTACTCCAATCTGGGTGATGAAGTGAGACTCTGTCTCCAAAAAAAGAAAAAAGGTGTTTCCAAAATAACCAAAATAAGTTCAAGTGACATGTTCCAGTTATATTGGTAGAAAACCAATATATCGAGGCTTTAATTTTATCTTTAATCATATACAAAGGGTTATTTAAATGAAGAATAAAGATTATAAAATTATCTTTTTTATTCATATAATCTGAAAGAGATGATTCCTGATATTCTACCCTCTCACCAAAGTACCTTTCCTCTTCTCCTGCCCATTGGTTTAACAAGTTCTTTCTCTTCCTATGTGTTTTAGTTGAAAAGTTATTTCTTTAGGGTGATCTCATCTCGTATTCTAGAATGGGTTGGATCACCTGGTTTACATTTCTCTTGCATCCTGTCCTTACTTTTTATAACAAGCGTCACACTTACATGACTGTTCAACTTCTGATGACTGTAAATTCCATAAGGACAAATAGGATCCTCATGTATTATTTGTTGCTACATCTCCAGGCCCTAGCATTGTTCTTTGCTCATACTGGGACTCAATAAGCAGTTGTTCAATTAAAAAATGAATAAATGTGATGATCTATTAGTAACAATTGTCACTCTAGGTTGGAAAACACCTTCTGTTATTGAAGATAAAACCACTTGCATAATTAAGAAGAAGATTAAAAGCAAAATGGTTAGACTGATATTAAACACTGATTGATAAATTCAACATTTTGTTTAAATGGCAGTTATTTATATATTTTATTATTTGATTATTTTAGAGATTATAAATATTTGTCAAAGACTGTAATATGTTAGAACATTCATCTTAAAGTCACTCATAATATTGTCACTTATTCAAGAAGCTGGAATAGTTTACAAAAGAGCCCAAGTGTTTCAAAGACTATCTATGTGGTAGCTAATGAACAATTACTCTCCTCTCAATTGTAATTTTAAGTCTCTTACATTAACTTACATCTCTCTATATAAACATGTAGTCAATGTGCAGAAGATACTAAACTATGTATCAAAGCAAATAGTAAGGAAAAATGGGGAAAAGGGGAGATTAGTCATGAGTTCTTATACCTGTAAGTGATGTGCTTGTGCTGCCACTTCTGTCCTGTTAATGCATATCGCTTTCGACGAATATGAAATTTGGAGCTACCTCTTGTCTGGTCAGGTACACCACATCGGGGCTTCTTCATCCAGCTGCAAAAAAGAAGCAGTATGTCCAGTTATTTACTAACAACCCTAATCATTAAATTGAAAAGGTAATCAATTAAGAGGTTCATCCAAGGCAGTGATGATGAAAACAGCAAACTACAAAATAAAGAGAACACTCAATTGTCTTGTACTTTGAATGTAAGTAGAGAGCATAGTTTTTCCTTAATTATCAAGAATCACTGGTTTAGTATTCGGATCCTTTAGATAATTTTCTTCTAATTTATTTTGAGATAACTGTAGACAGAGGTACTCTAAATCTTCTAAAAATTTACTGTTAACAAGATATATAATCTTGGGCAAGTTTTTCATTCCTAGTGTTACTTACAAAATGCCACTACAGAGTACTCTACCTTTAAGATTCAAAAATTTTCCTAACCTATTACCTGAATTTAAATCCCAGGATTCAAAAGGGTATATGTTACTCTGTTCTAACTTACATAGCAGTCAACTATTCAAATAACATGTTCATTTCTCCACCTTTTCTTCTTTACATTTGATCATTATTTCATTTCCAAGTAGCAGCCACTTGCTTTGAATATTTGGTAATAACAAAATTCAAGGCTTAAAAAATATTTTTCTGAATATGAGGTTTTGCACTAAGGTTTAACATATTTAAATTAGAAAAGGAAATGCTGCTTTTAATTTTTGAATCTTAATACATACACAGATAGAATAGTCTAATTACTCTTCTAGAGAGCCTCACTGGACCACTGTCACATTTTCTATTTATTCTTATATCTTACCTAGGTAGACAGATTTTCATGATTTGGGGTACTTTTTTTTAGTGCCTTATAAAGTGACTTTACTGTTTATTAACCATTTATTTTAATGACTACAAAGGTAAGGCCAAATATTCATAGTGCTACATGGTTCAGAAAGTAGAAATTAAAAAAAAATAATTTTTGGAGTATTTACCTTATAATTTCTATACTTTTTAAATGGAAAAGGAATGGTCATAGAAATGACTAAATCATTTACATGTTAAGTAATATACACGTGAAGTAATTTACATGTTATGCAACAAAATCCAATAACCTACTTTTACAAACATAACAATAACTACCTGCAACAGTGAAAGAACAACTTTTACTTCTTAAGAAAGGTGGCACTTTTCCAGTAAACATTAAAAGATTCTGCTTTCTTATTATGACCCCAGCAATGTAGACCAAGCGGTTACCAGATTTAACAAATTTCCTAGCTGAAATGCATTGTAGAGTTACTTCAGAAAATAATTCTTTCCCTTTATTAAAGCCCCCGAACTAAAAATGACATCTTATAAGTGCAAAATTCTAAGAGTCTACCCAGCCCTATAGAACTAAGTTCTCTGGAGGTGAGACCGGAGGCCTCCCATCTTTAACTAACACTTCCAGGTCATGCCTAAACACACTGAATTTGAGAGATGTTTCAGTACACTGTAAAACACTTAGAAAGAATTTGGTATTCTAAGCATCTTGTACAACTCCTAGCATAGAAGAAATATCAAGTAAATATTAATTGACTAGATAGATATGGTTATTTTTATTGTATAGTTTAAGATCTAGATACTGATTTAACTAATAATTATTAATGGCATGTCTATGATGATTTAAATTGCTTTTATATATACGTATTAATTATATTCTCAAAAAGTTATTCCTAAGGTAGGGACTTATCTTTACTTATCTCATTGAAAGTACTGGGAGGACAAACAATATGTAATTCTGAAATATGAGTATGTTTACTTAATGTGGGATATGGTTACCTTCACATTTAGCTAAGAAAAACACTTAAGTCAGCCATCTGTGAAATAAAATTGAAATGGATAGCTGGATAAAATTTGAAACAATAGAATTAACTATTATCAAAATAAAATGTATTTTCAATGAGGGTATAGTCTCTCAAATTACTTTAGTATGTATAAAATTGAAAAATGAAGGCAGTAATGTCTTGCTTTTGTTGGGGCCAGTAGAAGTTTTCTTTGTGAAGTGTGCATCTTCCAAAGAATAGATATTTTACGGAGGAATATTAGGTTCCTATGCTAAAAGATATCTCTGCTGAATCCCTTATATAAGTCTTGGGCTTTTGCCCACTTCATATAGTTGTTTGCTTATATTCCAACTATTTGTTCATTTACCTATCTCATCCTGATTTGTTCACCCTACAATATTTTTGAGCTTTTACAAAATGCTAAGATATTAAAAGAAAGTATAGATTAAAAAATGAAGAAAGAAAGAGCCTCTTCCTTACTGAGCTCATAACACACAGGTAAGACATGCACAATATAAAAAGTACAATATAATGGGGTAAGTACTCTCACACCTCCATCTAGATATCCTGTCATCATCTCTAATGTTATATGTAATACAAAGAAAATCATGATATTCCTACTCCAAACTTGCACCAATTTAACTGACGCCTCATCTCAGCTGAAAGCCTTAACATCTTCTAAAGCCCATATCAGATATCCAGGTACAATCTTCCGCTACTCTCTCCTCACATCCAGTCAATCACAGTCTAGTTTCTTCTACCCTCAAAATGTCTTTTCACTCTCAACACTTTGTTCATTTTTATGACTAACAAACACATTTTTCCAAAGCAAAGGTGTGCTCTCTACATGTTCTGAGCATGAAGTGCCTTTGTAGAAAGAATCAAGGAGAACTACAAGCCACTGCTCAACAAAATAAGAGAGGACACAAACAGATGGAGAAACATTCCATGTTCATGGTTAGGAAGAATCAATATCGTGAAAATGGCCATACTGCCCAAAGTAATTTACAGATTCAATGCTATCCCCA